ATCAGCTTACGAAATTATACGTTTCGGCCCATAGAAGGTCCTGTGAGAGATAAAAAATAATTCAATATATAGAAAAATCCGTTTTTTACTACTTCAATGCAGACTATCAGTTATTGTAATTGTCTCATAATCCATTTAATTTGTAATTAATTGGATAATTAATTAATTTGCTAATCAATAAATTAATCAGAAAATTAACTAATTAATAATTGTTAGTTAATTATTAATTGATTTGCAATTACATACTCCAATTAATTTGGAAAGTTTTTTGAAAAAAAAATAAACAAAAATTTGATGTCAATTTTTTTTTAAAATTAAAACTAACAGGTTTTTCTGATATAAAATTTCCGAAATAAATTTTAACAATAAATGTGCATTATATAGTACGTGAAAGTACCACAAAATTAATTGGAGTATGAGACAATTACACTAACTAATAGTCTGCACTGAAGTAATAAAATACCGATTTTTCTATATATTTAATTATTTTTTATCTCTCACAGGACCTTCTATGGGCCGAAATGAATGTTTTCCCCTAAAATTATTCCTCATAAGACATGCATCCCACTAGTTTATTTCAAAATTGGCGAGTCACACTTCCCTAGTTTCCCTTGTTAGTATTTTTTACAATTCCTATGGATATTTTTTTCTAAATAATATAGAGCAATAAAATGATGTGTTTAGTAAATTTGAATAAGTAATTTAATGCGATACAAATCAGATAAAGTTAGATTTTCTTAGAATTTACTTTAATTGTTAGTTTAACTGACGAAAATCAATTTGAATGCTGCTAAAAAATTCTTTTAACACTAAATTATGCAAAACCAAAGATATTTATTAAATCTCTAAAAACAGACTCCACAGACATGTATATTTAACTGCCTTTGAAAAAAAGAAAATTAAATAAATAAAAATAAGTAAATACATAAATAAATACGCAAATAAATAAATAAATATACAAATAAATGAATAAATAAATAAATAAAAAGCTGCTCAATTGGTATGATTTTGTTTAAAAAATAAATTAATATTTCAAAATAAAGCAAGCTATATTTTCCACATTCTTAATGAGTGAAGATCTTGCATATTAAATTCAGAAGATACTGAATACTGAAGATCTTGTATATTAAATACTTGTATACTGTTTAGTTTGATAATTGTTTATTGGTTCAACATACATTTACAGACACTTGTGTTAAGTTAAGGCTCATAAACCTTTGTCAAGTAGGAAGACAGATAGCACAATACAGAGAAGGACAGCACGAAGATATATCTAGGGTAAAAGCGAGATTCGAACCTGTTACTTCCACGCTTCTCATAGCGTTTTACACGTCCTTGGAAAGATATTTCAGAATAGATTGAGTGACAATGGCTCAGTGATCAAAGTCACCCGACTGTGATTGTGAAGGTCTGTTTTCAATTTTCAGGAGCAGCTTGAAGCTCGCTTAGTTTCAGATGGATGGTTATCTGTTAACTGAGAAGTAAAGGCGGTTGCTACAATAATGCCTTTGATCACGAAATTGTGGAACCTCAATAACGCTATAATAACCCTGGCTCACAAAAAGCTGTTGCGGGAATGAATAACTCTTTTTCAGAGTAGAGTTGCGCATTATTTGTGAAAATTAAATTGAGTAACAACATTTTTTCCCTTTCGAATGACAGGCACTGAACTTTATTCGTTTCGCCTTAGAAGATGCCAGAGTTGATACTCATTTCGCGTTACCCAGTGGGCACCTGTGAACCAAAGTCACGGAGGCGAGTAACAATGCTCACGCCACACTACCACAAACCCATTCATAGGGTGGGCTCCATTCACTCATCACACACAACAGAGGACAACACAAGAGAGAGAGACATCCAGGCACAGAACGGGATTGGACAAGCGGCCATTGGCTTCGCACTCAGGCGTGCGAACCCAACGCCTCTTATAACTGAAATCCTCCACACGGTTTTTTTATAGGTAGTCCGATCAGACCACTATGAAGGATATCCACTTACCGAACGAGTCATTTAATACAGAATATAATGAAAATAAGAAAGTGGTAGCAAATATATATATGAGTAAAAATTTATTTTATTTATGAATATTATTGGTTTGCCTTATTTACTTGTCAACCACTACAGATTCAATTCTCAAATATACAAGATAAATTTCTCTCAATTACTTTTTTAAAAGGTTTTGGGTTCATACGCACAACTGGTTCACTTTTTAAACAGTCTTTCTCCGGACTACTTATAAAAGACCGTGTGGTGGCTTTTTGATGTAGGAGGTGATGGCTAACCGCTCGGGTACCTGGCCGGTTGAGTAACAACATATTTAGTATCTTCTCTCTATTGACGATTGAGTCTGCTCGTGACGAAATAATAATAACTCTAATACGAAACTAAAGGTTAATCAAACCTGATGTGCTCTCGAGATAATATCCCATCCCTGTATTTTTTTAGTGCTCTTGCTAGATGGCGATTGACAGTAATTCCTTCTTCACACATTTTGATTGTTGGAAGGAAGAGATCTTTCCATGGAAGTTTTCCAAATTCCTGGTGCATCGTAGCGTACCCTGATAACTCTCCTGGCACAGCTATGGCTAGACCATCTGAATAAGAAGATTTTTATTAATGTGTGTATTTTCTTTCATAATCACATAATTGCACAGTGGAATTTTGTTTTTGCAACTGGAATATTACAAAGATGCCAACTAGTTTCAGACAGAGCATAAATATTTTTGAGCAGTAGTTTCTAAATGTCTGTTTGTAATTTAACCGATGCTAATCCCATGCATGTTTTTGCCTTTATGTTTGTGTTACACTTCCTTGGTTTAGTACATTTAGATTTATAGGGCTTTTCTCATCACTACTTCTAAATAATTCAAAGCTTATGTGATACGCCAGTTCTGTTACTGTTAAGCCATGTGATTCTTTTAAAAAGTTGGCAAAATTAACCGAAAATCTGCAAACTTTAGTCTGTAGTTCTCAACCTTTCTTGAAATATTTTATCTTATCCGGAGTAGTTGACATCTTTGGCATTAACGAATACTTTGTTTACATTAAAAGCTCTCTTTCTATAACAAATAATCCCCCTAAAAATATCCCCTCTTTTTAATAATATTCTGAATAGCAATATATGCGGCGGCTCGAACCATGGGATTCATCCAGAATGTTAGTAGTGAAGATGTAACATGTCATTCACCTGAAAAAGAGACCTTCCTGACCGAATTAGTAAACAGTGTTTTCTCAGTATCTTTTGATGATAGTCATTCTGCAACGTATGTCACAAAGAAAGAAGGAAAACACGCACTGCACTATTTGCTTTTTGATTTTGCTATTATAAGCATATTCATGAAGTCCATAGACGTATTTTTAATAGTTTTTATATTTTAGATTAGTTACTGTGTTGAAACTAGTTAAATAAGTTCGTTAACTGCTGATCTTGTCTTAAACTCTATACCTTCAGCAGTATTTGGGAGTTGAAGCAGGTGATTGCTCTGTTTGCTGGATTCACCATTTATGATATTATTACTAATTTTTTCATAACAATAAATAATTTATATATATTTATGTGTAAATGAAAAATGTTTGTAATTTTACCAACGCTAATCCCATGTGTGTTTTTGCCTTTATGTTTGTGTTGTATTTCCCTTCTTTCGTCACTTTTCAAATTTTTCACTAGCAACTAACCTCTAGTTAACTGCCAACTTCATTTTAAATGACCCTTTGAGTCAGCAAATATCATTTAAGTACTAAAGTGGCAGCCTTTACCTCGTTTACTCGTTTGTATTATGTTTCAGTTTCTCCAGATTTATCGTTTCGATAAGTAAGTAGGTACTTTTTTCTGTCGCACTAGAACTGCACAATGGGTTATTGGCGGCGGTCCCTGATGATGATCCGAAGACATGCCATCGCAATTTCGATTCTGTGCAGAGGGGATGGCTCTCCCACTTTGGTAGCTCGATGACCTGCGCGTGAAGTCGTGCACTTTACGGTAGAGCAGTTTAACGAGGACCGACACCTCACACCCCTGGTCCCTATGCAGGCTGATGAAAGCTGCCACCCACCCGTTTACTGACAGCAGCCAGTGATGCTAGACTTTGGTGTTTTACTGGGAACCGTGTCTTTACGATCAGTCCACTGTGGGACAGGTTTATATATTCAATAGGGCGTACATGTAACATAGCTTCAAGACATTTCATTTTTGTAACATACATCCTTATAAAACAATAATATTTTAAACGAAAAACTTGGGGCCATTTTTTCACCCCGTAACGATATTTCGAGTTGAAATACTCGCCTGACTTTGTTCTTTATAAACACAATTTTAATTATTGATGTTATCCCATTTCCTTGACCCATCAATGCTCAGCTGTAAAAAGTGGTATATTTATGAAAAGCACTCATATAGAAAATAACGTTAATATATATGTGTTTAACCAAGTAAATATCTACCACCCATTTTAGCTTTAACAAAGCATTCTGCGTTGACTTCAGATTTAAATATAAATAATTTAGAATAATGCATTTGTTAAAAGCTAGCCTCAAATGCCACTCATAATTAAAGTTTATTTTATGAATTTGTAGGTTATCAACGATATTTTTTGTAGAAAAAATGGAATTCGTCAATAAAAATGTCGATATAAATATAGACGGGAAATTATTTCATTTATTAGTTTATGAAAGAACAACGGTTAGTTACACATTATGGTAGACAAAATTATTGTATTTTTCCCAAATAAATCCTAATAATGAAATTGGATAGCAACGCTTTTCCAGCTATTAAAGGAACTGAGCTTTAAAAACGACACTAAGCGCAATGGTAGGTTGGTACTTAATTTACGTCTCACTAGAGCAACATAATGGGCTATTGGCGACGGTCTGGAAAACATCCCTGAGGATGATCTTAAGACGTACTATCGCAATTTTGATCCTCTGCAGAGGGGATGGCTCCGCTGCTTTGGTAGCCCGACGACCTGCGCGCGAAGTCGAGCACTTTATGGTAGAACAGTTTAACGAGGACCGATACCGTGTACCCTATGTCCCTACGCAGGCTGATTAAAGTGCCCATCTACTCGCTTACTGACCTCCACTAGTGTTGATATATATATCTATATATATCAATATCTCTCTCTCTCTCTCTCTCTCTCTCTATATATATATATNTTACCGGCGTGAATTAAAACGCGGTTTAGGTTTAAAAGTACAATAATAAAACAGTTAACAAAAATCGCGAAGATGTAAAATATTGCTTATAGCTTGAATCGAATATAATAAAATTAAAAAAACATTTGATCGAAGAAGAAAAAAATGTTTAGGTAAAATATTAGTGCTGCCATCTATGATATATATATATATATTAAAATTGTAATTTAATTGCCCTTTCACTTAAAAAAATTATTTTGGGTAAAAGATAAAGTTGGCAGGCATGCTATAACCATATCCTCCAACACCTGAAAATTTAGCAAAATGATTTTCCAATGGTAAGAAGCTAATGCTGTTTTTTTTAAAAAAATGAAATGACTTTTTAAACTTTTTTTTCGAAGCTTGAGAACATCTGATAATGTGTCGATTTAACCTTTTAAATGTAAGTTTAAGTTATTTTGAAGTTGTGGTGAACATAATTCTTTTAATTCTAATTCGTTAAAATATTAATATGCTGTCTTTGTAACTATAAGAAAAAATAGTTTTTGAAACTAATTTCACATATGCTAGTTAGTGTGTGCAGACGATATTTTAAGTTACGAAATCCGACTCAAAAATGTTACTTCTCTGAATAAACAATTTTTCAACGGATTCCGATTTCTTACCCCCAAATTAAAGAAGTCGTAGATTTAAAATTTGATTTCTCAGGAATTATTTAAACAATTTCTCTTAAATTTTGGTATTTTGCCATGTAAAATTACATACTTTAAAATGATGTACGAAATTTGTATGCCTTACTTAAATTTTTCCGAATATTATGAAAAAAATTAATAAATATTTACTAACATTTATTATTTGCATGAAATCTTCTTTTGATAACAAATTCTATAATTGTGTGCAAAAATTTTTCAAATTTCTTAAAAAGTTCTCGACATATGGCGAAATACGCAAAAAGTAAAATTAACATTAGGGGTTCCAAACTTTGGACAGATTTCCTGACCCAACGGTGTGGACCATATTTCCCAGATTACGGGGACCTCCTATATTTTGGGGGTCAAAAATCCAAATCCGTTGAAAAAAAGGTTTGTTTATTCACAGAAAGTACGTTTTTGTGTCTAATTTCGAAACTTAAAATACCGTCTGTACTAACTAATTGGCATATTTGAGGTCACCCTCTTGAGCTATTAAGATTGAGTCCTAGAACGAGATGATCCGATTATTAGATCAAAAGTTTATTAGGATCGTCCGTTTTTTTTGGAGCACTGTACATTGCTAGTATAAAGGGGGAAAGGCCCATAGATTAATCAAACATAGCTTTATTAGGGAAAACTAGGTTTAAATATATAATTAAAAATAAGCAGGGAATGAAAAGTAACTAAGTAACCAACGGAAGCTTAAGAGCATGGAAAGAGATCCGTAGAGGGCGATTTCTTGATATATAAAATAGCCAAAAACAAAGCCGACTTCGCGTTATTAATATTAAATTTGAAATGACTTGGTTACAGCTGAATCATCAGAGAAAGCGAGAAAACCGTGAGAAATTAAATTAACCCTGTAACTGAAACATTTTTGCGGTTAGAGAAATATGCAGCTTAAAATTGAAAATAGATTTTGATGTTCGAGTTAGTCGCGGCAATGATTTAATGTGTTATACACTTGTATTGAATTAAAAAGTTAACCGTTACATTGATTGTTAAGAAAACAATAAAAGTATTTATTACTTGCTTTTTATGAGAAGTGTAAAAAATAAAAAATTGCATTAATTTAATTAGAACTGGATTAAGAATGATTAAGAAATTTATGAAATTAAGGAAATTTTCAAAGCTAAGAAAAGTATAATACCAAAAATAATGTCTATTATCAAAAATATTATTATAATGAATATTTTTCAATTCTAATCAAAAATGAGTCCAGAAAAATATATTCAATAAACATTGCAAATTATATATGAGCAAACAAAGAACAAAAATGCTATCTAAATTGTATCAAGTCATTATTAAGGAAGGTGGCACTAAAAAAAAAAAAAATCAGAGCTTGCTTGATTGCTGAAAAGAAAAAAAAACAGAAATTAAGGGTAGTATTGTCAGAAATATCTCCAAGTTTTACCAGGCAATAAAACTGGTTTTGAGGTTTCATATTCCTCTTCCCTCATTAGTGATTCGGCAGATTTCGATGGCATTTTTGTTTTTCCTTCATTGATATTAATTTTGCAACACCTAATGTCGATATTTTTTCGACGAACAATGACGGATTAAGGGTGGTAGTTACGGGGCACCGGTATTATATAACAGTGACTAAGTAATATTCTTCATACAACTAAATTTAACAATTAGTTTTTTTATATAAAAAAAAAATCAACCGTTATATCTTACCGAAATATTTACTCATAACATCATACCGAGTTTGGCCAGAGATGCGTTGCCATGAAACATGTTTTCACTTGCTGCAAGAGGAGCGACTTCTCGAGCATCTATATAAGTGGTCCTGTCTTTTTCCCTAGAAATAATACAAGAGAAAGGGGCAATTATCTTCCTGTGTGTATTTCTGCAATAAATATGCTCCCCTTTAGAAAATGTCCACCAGATTGTTAATTATATCAAAGTAATTTGATAAACGTCACATTATCCTTTGCCAAAACACTTTTTTTTGCACTGATATGAAAAATATTTATAAAATAATGATATATAACTTACATTTAATCAAATAACAAGGTTAGCAATGTCCTTGAAAAATTTTGGTAGCGGTAGCAAATTAACCCCTTCTTTCTCGCTCCCGTGAAAAAGACGGGCTGAGCTTTCGCCCTCTATTTCTCACTCCCGTGTTATTGACGGGCTGGAGTTTTTAGTAGTAACGCGCCAATAAGGATTAACCCTTTCGCACCGGACGAGACATGTGCTGTCCCAGTCCATGGGTGAAAGCCCTTATATACTAAGACGGAAAAGAGAAAAACCTGGTATATAAAACATTTCATTCCAGCATTTTTTTCGAAAGAAAAATGAAATATCTGTAACTATCAAGATTTCCTTTATAATTCTGGCATATATATAAAACTGCTTCTTTTCCAAGATAAAGTAGATATTGTTGAAAAATTTAAAAAAAGAATAAGTAAACTCCTCCCCAAAACTAGCTATAACTGAAATGGTTTTACTACCAGCCTTTCCTCTTTTCCGTCTCGCTTTCACCCCTGNTTAACACGTTGAATGCCGTGTTAATTTTGCATGGCTTGCCCGTCTGGCCACAACGGTAAATAACCACAAACTAAATTTGCAAATATTAGACAGATTTTGCTAGTTTTAAAGCGTTTAGCACTACATCGCGAATTAAAGTGGTGAATTATATAAGCCAACAAATAGCTTAGAAATAGTGGTGGATAAAAGTCTACTTAATTGAATTTATTAAACCAAGAATCACAATTAATAAACTGCCATTTGAAAATATTTATTCGCTTTCCGGAGCAAGTTGGAATCACTGTGTATATAAATAAAACAATTTTTGTGTGTTCTATATTGCATTAATTTAGTCAAACCATTTTACTAACTATAATAATAACTAAAAAAAAAAAACTAAAAATTTACTCAAATTGTGTGTTTCTAATAATCTTGGCTTCACCGGTCACCGGTGACTCCCATGACATTCAAGTTGTAATAAACAAAAATGAAATGAGTTTCTACCACTTTTTATATTTATAGTCGTCTATGGAATCCCTGAACTATCCAGTCAAGAAAACAATCCAGTAAATCATAGAAATATTACTTTTTTTAAAAAACAAGCTAAAACTGAAATAGTTTTGTTACACTTTTTTATTCATTTCCGAATAAAGTTTACTAAGGGAAAGTTCACTAAGTTTACTAAAGTTTTTTCTCTTGACGGTAAGCCAATATGCATTTATTTGAAGATTCATCACACTTACTTATTATAATGGAGCATGAAGAAGCCACCACCTAATCCCATGCTTTGGGGATTTACAACTCCCATGCAAAGAAGCGTAGCAATAGCGGCATCAACCACAGATCCCTCATTAAACAGAACATCCCTGCAAATTATCAAATTTTAACAATCGCTTGTTAGGTATACAATTTAAATAAAAAATTAATAGTGAACTAACTTGTAATTACAATTTGTAAGGAACAAATAGTAAGTACAAGCAGTAAGCACAAATAGTAATAAATTAAAGTAGAGAGCCTCGAATATCCGTGGAATTGGGTGACAAGAAGGGCACAGCGGTTAACAAATATCGAGGATAATCTGAAAAAATCTAAAAGTGAGATAGAAACACGAATTATTTAAAAAAAATGTATTCATACATGTGTATATGTTTTAATTATCTAACAGAAATCTTTGATCTATGTCTAAATCACTGATACAACGAACGGTAAAGAAGAAATTAATACATACACTCTTCAGGAAAGTGCTCAGTTACACAATTTTTTAAAGAAACCAATGATAAATCTCGTGTGATATAATTTTTGCATCTCCTTTGCGGCACTCATCCGCGCGTCAGATAACCCGCACTGCAGATTACCCGCACCGCAATAATCCGCACTGTAGAGGATATGCACCGTGGATAATCAACTGGCATTTAGTCTGGGCTCTATCATATTTGGAAAACAAAGCCATGCAATTTTAACATTGATAAGTAATTAATAAATCATTAGCAGCTCTGAAAGAAAATATGAAATTCCTTGTGTAGTAGTTGAACTCACGACCTCTTGGACATGGTGCTAACACCCTATCAACTATACTATCCTGGTCCCGGAGTTACTCGTAGGCCAGATAATCGTTGCACATAATTAGTTTTCTGCAGTTCTTTTACAATATGTTTCGATGTTGGCCTTTTTAAGACCTAACAAAAAATAACCTTAGTTCTAAGAGATTTAATTTTTAATTTTCTTTCACTTCACAATATCTTCTGCAGTAAGTGGAGTAGTTAACTATTCTTGCATTTGCTTAATATCAAATACATGCTGACCAGGTGGCCGAGTCGTTAACGTACCCGACTGTGGAGCCAATGGTCGCGGGTTCGAATCCCGCTCAGGTTATGGATGTTTCTGTCTCTCTGTGTTCTATGTCCTTTCTCCTTTGTGTGTGATTGTGTGAATGTGACCCGCCCTATAAACGGATTTGTGGTTATGTGACGTGGGACACCCGCTCCACCGCCGTGGCTTCGCTACAGGTGTCCACTGGGTATCGAGAAGAGAGTAGCAGTTCTGGCACTAAAAGGCCAATGGGACAATACATCCCAAGTGCCCGCTATTAAAAAAATATATCAAATACAGTATACTTTTAGTGCCATGAAGTATTGAAATTTAAATATATAAAGCAATGAAATTTTTTATTGCAGTGTAAAGATGCGTCATAGTGTTAACCATAATAGCCAGTAATATCTTGAAAGGAAATTAATATTACAAAATTTGTTTCCATAACTACCTAGTCCTAGTGTTTAGATTTTATTGGGCACCTGGGCCGCGAAGCGGCCCCTATCCCATTCATCTGGAATTTTTGAACAGTTTTGGTTGAGCAATGAGGTAAGCAGGCAATGGAGTTGCTTTTATGAATGTTTCAAGCTCTTTGCTTGAATAACTAAAAAGGAATCAAAAATAAATTGAGCAGCTTGCTCTAAACTGTGTTTGTTTGATTTTGGAGTTGTTCAGAATTGTATCAGCATGAGTAAACGTTATTTTCAGAAAGGTTGATGAAATTATTTGTTTTGATAGTTATGATATGAGGCGTCGGAGGTGAAATGTGCAGCTATTGGTCTGTAGTTTTTATCTTTGATATAATTTTCAAATTTAAAGATTTCATTAAAATTTGCTGTTTTACATTCTATGGCTTTATCGAAAAAATCTGCGTTTAGCTT